ATTGTATTAGAATTATTGCAATAACAATTCAATTACAACATTGATTTTTTTTTTTTACTCGTAATAGGAAAGGCTTTTATGTTTAGATCTGGATTGAATCAAACTGTTCTGACAGTTTACCAACCTTTCGTTGATGACGGTGACAGCTTTCATCTATCACCACAAATTGTTTGCGACCACCAAGACAGTGTCTGTTGTTTACTCTGTGTCTTTCCATCGCACACATGTAAACACACCGAATGCGTTTTGCCATGGTGCTTAGTGTTGGAGCTCCCAGCCACATCATCATCATCGATCATATCTATTTGTCTGAGTCTGAGCCCTTGTGAAAATCTGTGGCAGAAATTAAAACAATATACTGTAACTTACTGAGGTTCTGATAGACCATTTCATAGTTGGAAACTGCCACAAAAGCACAAAGCACACCAACCTCACACGTTTATCAGGAAAACACAGAGGTTGCTGTGGAAACATAATTGTAATTACATAAATTAAACTGGTAAATTTACACCGTTACACAAAACCAATGTATTTGCTCTAAACTGATTCATGTTAAACTTTTCTGTAGGATCATAGGTGAGATTTTTCATAAATATCTAAGTCATAAATCTGCTTTTTCACCTTGTTTAATTTGCACAATTCCAAMGGCATTTTATAGCAACCTCAGCATTTTACTGGGTGATCTGTGACCCAGAGGAGCTTGGCTCTGCAATGTGCATGCACTCTAAAAATGAAATGTTGGATTTACTTGACCATGTTATGTTACCTGGTTCCACTTAACTGAGTTGAGTAAACTCAAAGCAACATACTCATGTTCTTTGGCTAAAAAACTGGTATATTGCTTTGAATTTACTCAACTCAGTTAAGTGGAACCAGGTAACATAACATGGTTAGGTAAGTCCAACATTTCATTTTTTACAGTGTGTGAACAAAAAACCAAGAACGAGTTTATTGTAATTTTTATATCTTGTATTGGTATATAGTTATGAAAGGTGCATTGTTATGCATAGGCTACCTGTAGATGAACTTCATCCATTTGAAAAGAGAAGATTTCGATTTCTCAAAGAGGGAGCCAGTTCTGATAGTTCTGGAGACTTTCCTATGACTTGATTTTTTGCAACACCTGAGAATATATCAATAAGTAAAGTAAGGAACTGGCCCTTAAACATGCATATTAATTAACCCTTTTTTCATACTTAATTTTGTTATTATTAATTAATGCACTACATTATCATGCATTTAACACAGCCTACCACATGTATTGGTCTTTCTTCACCACAGATATCATTTTCATCTTATGGTAGCAAACAGGGCATTTAAGCTCCTTCAGAAAGCGTTTCTTCTGCAGCCATTTAATCAGCCTCAGTGCCATATTTTTAGTTTGTTTGACTTCTACTCGGGCACGCAACTTCTTTCCCAAAGACATTCTGGTTGGAAAAATGTGTTAATTTATTTTATTATCATATTGAAACACTGTATATTGCTCAACAGAAACAGTGCAAATTAGTGCAGAGTTAAATAATGTCATACATAAAAAACAATAAAAGTAAATAAACTAATGAGTACAGTAAAATGTAATCTAAAAAAATGTAAAAGGGGAGAACACAAGAGGCAGAGACAAGAACATTTACAAAAAAAAAGCTAAATTTACAAAGAAAAAATGCAATTGACAATTTAACTCCTTAGATGTATTCTCATTATCAGCTAAAGGACGTTTTAAAACACAACCGTAAAGTAAGAAAATAAACAAAAAATAAATTCTCACCTGATATAGCCTACTGTATCTCTGACTCATGAAGTTCATTCAGCCCGCTGGATTTATGGAAAGATATTATGAATTAAAACTGTCCTGGCGCCAAAGAGGGGGGAAAAGAAAAATTGTCCATTCACTAAAGAGTTTATGCAAACATCCAATCAAAATTAGCGTTATTAAGGAAAGTCCCTCCTACTAGTGCGCGCCCACCAGTAGGCTAGGAAGCTCAGGAGCCTGAAGCCAAACGAACCACTTGGTGGACAGATGCTGAAGGAGCCTCTGAGGAGCCTCTGAGGCTTCAACGGTCAGCACACGGTTGAAGAGATACAAAAAGCAAAGACTGGGTAATCTTGACTCDCCTAAACCAACGGTGTCAACAGTTGAACGCCTGTGGCAGAGTAGTTAGGAGAATCATCCTGGAACCGGAAGGTCACCGGTTCGATTCCCCGTCCAGCTGTCTCAGTTGTTGTGTCCTTGGGCAAGACACATCATCTCTAATGCCTCTGATGTGTCCCATCAGTGTATGAATGTGATTGGTACTGATTAGTCTCCATAGCTGATTGTACATGTTAGCTTTGTAGAGACCTAACAGAGTGCTGTGTGAATGGGTAAATGAGGACACAGTTTGTAGAGTGAAGAGCTTTGAGTGTCCTGGATGGATAGAAAGGTGCAGAGTACAGTCCATTAACCATTTAAACATGGTGGTGAGTAATGCTATTTAGATAGCTACCAAGACATTCAGATGCTAGTTTTTTTATTCCTCTTTTTTTGTTTAGCTGTTAGCTACAATGGCTACCCAGACTCTAATGTCTCATTACTATTAAATTATCTGAACGTTAAACATCGCTTCACTAATGTTTATATATTATATATCCTCCAGAGACCCACAAGAAAAAAAGTTTTGGTATCTAATTTTTTTGTCATAGTTTAAGAACTAAGGTTAAAAGAAACATATTGCAACATGTTTTTCATTAATATTGTTTATTTAAATTGAAATATTTCTTTCACTGGACATTGGGTCTTGCTTAATATAAAAATATTCTTTACTTAATGAACATTTAAAACGGATAAATTCCATTTCTTTATTTTATATCTTTATTTTATGAATACTTAAAACAGAAAAACAATTTTTAAAAATCACAAACAAAAATAAACAGTTGAAGAAATTGCATTAATAAGTGCTTACATAACCAATTGCATGTCTAAAATGCATCTAAACATCAATATACTATCGCTTGTTTGTGCATTCTGCCATGCTTTCAAAAATTATGTTATTTATGTACTGTTTAAAGTAATCAGTTGGACTCCAGAAATTGGTGATTGTGTGCAGTGTAGTTACATATATATATGCCTTTACAAAGTTTGATATTATTGTGTCTATTTGTTATTTACCAATAAATTCTATGACCCTAACTTACATAGTGTTTTTCATCTATATTGGCTGGTGGGTGTCTTCACATTGTTCCTCTATAGGCTCCTCAAAAGCTGTTATGTCATCCTCTGAACATTCACGTACCTGCTCTACTATCTGGCATTCCTCCTCCTCATCTCCTGACAGCTCTATGTCTGATTCTCCTCCACAACTCATTAAGATCCTCACTGCCTCATTCAGTCCTATACTTAAGTCCACAGTGGGACTAACATAGATTGCAAGTGCAATGTTTAAAATATAGGACTGAATATCATGTCCCAAACAGATGACAAAAATTAGTTGTTGGGTCTCAGGAGGATATATATATATA